AGCTAGAGGGGACTATTTAAAAGCTGGCATTTTTTGTTATTATTACTTAATAAATTACACAGGGTTTCTAATACAGAACCAAGAGTTTTTAAAGAGTCTTTAGTGACTAATGCAGGGATTGCCCACAGCCTTATCCCAAGCTTTGGCCTTCTACCTCAACTTTTTAACACTCGCCCTACAGGATGCGGTACAGTGACAAGAACCAGGAATGAGGGTAAGGGAAAACAGTCCCCAAAGGTCCATGCAGAATTGGAACACTACCCATCTAAATACAACCACCCGTGTCCATATACCTGCACTATCAGGGAATTTAGGATACATTCATTGCTGGTTAATTCTAATCCTAGCACAAAAATCTCTGGAATTCAGGAGCTGGAAAGAATTTTTAAGTCTTTTTTATTCCAATTCCCTCATTTTACTGATGAGGATACTTGATACCTATGTGTGTCACAAAATCTGATCCAAAGCGCATATCGAACTGCTGTACTGACAAAAAGTTCAAGTTTCCTAATTTGTAACCTACAGGTTTGTATAAATTTCACTTATATCCTGTTCCCACCACTTCTACATTTTTAGGACAGTCTGTAGGGACAAAGGTGGGATCAAATTCCCGTCTTATCATTTATTAATTCTGTGATTTGGGGCTGAGTTATTGAACTTATCCAAGTCCCAGTTTCTTTCTTTGTAGAATAAGGATCACGATCTTTCTCTTGAAAGTTTACTGTGTGATAAAAGAGATAATACCTGTAAGTTGAGTGGCAAAATCCTATGCCTGGTAACTGCCTCCCCACTTATTAACCCTTTATAGTAAATACTGTGAAAATTTGAAAAACTAGTGCGCAAAACCCAAGGTCATATTTAAAACTTCTTTTTTCAAGAAAAAAAAAAAAACATTACGAAAATTGGCATTTTTGCCACTTTCAGCATGGAAGTTGTTTAAAAAAAATCATTCCTTCTGGTTTAAAACCTGGTCGCCCCGGTGTCCTGCTTTCCGCACGGCGTGCCCGTCTCCGTGGAGGCAGTCACGTATAGGCACTGTGTAGCGAAGCGCGCACAGCACAGAGCTGTACTATATCACTTGTTTGCTTTTGCACCTCTGCACCTCTCTTACCAGGTACCATGAGGCTGCCAATGCCAGCCACTGCCTCTGCCTTTATCCTTCCTCCGCACTTTCTCCCCTCCGCTGCTTTCCGGATATGTCTTGTTTGAGGACATTTCCCTTTATTATCAAGAAGGTAGAAACTTGGTAGAATCAACAAGGTAGAAGCTCCAGAGGAACCTGGGCTCTGTCATCTTCAGGGACCTGAGGCTTCTTGTCTGTTACCTGACAGCTGGTTCCCTGGCCAGAGCCCACTTCTTTGCCTGGCCAAATTCTCTTCTGATATTTGGGTTTATACAAGGCGTGAGGCTGGTGCAGCAGGCAACTACTCTCACCGACCCCCTGACCTTCCCCGGAGCAAACACAAGAACTAGACCTAGAAGCCTTCCCTCTGGGCACAAAACTTGGTTGTTTAATCTTCCCGCAGGCGGCTCCGTGGCGCCCGGCCCGCAGTACCCCAGTGCACGCTGCGCCGTTTGCGTCTGTGGTGGAGAATGCGCCTCTGCAGGACGCACGGAGGGGGACAGCCTGGAGCGCCGGGAGACCGGCCCGCGGCGGCGGTGGGGCTGGGGAGCTCCCCGGGGCTCCATCCCTGGGTCCAGCCTCTCCTCCTGTCCCCGGGGGAACTGGGAGCCACTTTTCCAGCCTCTGAGGCAGGCGCAAGACCCCGGCCCAGCGGAGTCAGCGCGGGCACTGTACCCCAGCTGTAGCTGTGTTCCATGTCGCGCGTCCGCAGTAGGCGACCGCGAAAGCACCCCTCCCAGAACTCTGGGGCTACGAAGGGAACCTCGAGAGTCACAAGAGAGAAGACGGCAGGTCTCCCTGAGGAGCCTCCCAAGCACCTAGTGAGGGGTGGCGGAATGAGCAGGACAAGGCCACCCAACCCGCACAGCGCCCGTACCAGCTCGGCTCGTCCCTGTCTGCACCCGGCGCGCACCCCGCGCGTCCCTCCCGGCCCCGCCCGAGCCGCCC